TACAGGATTTTAGTTCTCTTGCGATAAAAGTGACCACTTTTGGCGACTAAATTATTTTTTAGTCACCAATTGTAGACTTTTGGCTACTAAAAATTTTTTTAGTCGGTAAAACCCAATAATCAGCGACCAAAACTTATTTTTAGTCGCCAATTGTAGCCTTTTGGCTACTAAATTTTTTTTAGTCGCCAAAAAGCTTTACTTTGGGCTACTAAAAATTTTTTAGTCACTAAAACCCATATAATCAAGCGACCAAACTTAATTTTAGTCGCCAATTGTAGACTTTTGGCTACTAAAATGTTTAGTCGCCAAAAAGCTTTACTTTTGGCAACTAATGTTGTTTTGGTCGTTGAAAGCTATACTTTCAGCGACCAAATTTTTTTTGGTCAGGAAATTTAGTCGCCGAATATGCTTTTTCCTGTAGTGTATATTGAGTTTAATTCATTTATTTTTAATCATTTACTGCATTTTAAAAATTTAGAAAATATATTGGCATTTTTTGTTTTTTTCAAAAATGTCATTATAAGCTTGGAAAGTTTTTGGCTTAGTGGCATTTCTCAAATGCTATAAAAATTTGTTTTATGACACTTTTCACCTAAGTGCCATAAAAAGTAATTTGCACCTACCTAGTGTCCTGACATTTTTTAAAAAATGCCATTGCAACTAAAGTTTAGTGGCATCTGTTGGTAAATGTCACGAACATAATTTTTTGTGTCATTATTTTATAAAATGTCAAAAAAATTGATGTGACATTTCTTTATTGAAATGTCACTAGAGCCTTATATGTTTTGTGGTTCTATGGCATTTTCTAAAACATTTAATGCCAATTTTTATTTTTGTGACATTTTCTAAAAACATGCTACTAGTGTAGTGTCACTAAGTGTAAATTTGTTGTAGTGAAGTGACACTTTTTTTAATTGAAATGCCACTAGAGCCTTGTATGTTTGTGGCTCTATGACATTTTTCTAAAAAAATGCCACCAAATATTCTTTCAATGACATTTTTTAAGAACATGCCACTAGTATGGTGTCACTAAAATATGTTTTTTGTTGTAGTGTTGTGACACTTGTTCATTGAAATGTCACTAGAGCCTTTTATGTTTGTCGTTTTGTAGCATTTTTAAAAAAACGTGCCACTAAATATCATTTTTTGTGGCATTTTCTAAAAATATGCCACTAGTGTAGTGCCACTAAAGTATGTTTTTGTTGTAGTTTTGTGACACTTGTTCATTGAAATGTCACTAGAGCCTTTTATGTTTGTCGTTTTGTGGCATTTTTCAAAAACGTGCCACTAAATATCAATTTTTGTGACATTTTCTAAAAATATGCCACTAGTGTAGTGCCACTAAAGTATGTTTTTGTTATAGTGAATAGTAAAAACACAGTGTATAAATTCATATTTATTGTTTTCTCTCTATTTATGTTTGGTATTTGAGAACTTCAAAAATTTAGCTAGGTTCGTTTCGAATTTTATCTGTTTCTTTCTTTTATCCCCTTCCATTTACTGAACATTTTTTAAAACTAGGTTGGCATGCAAGGAGATAAGCATAGGAGGCTATAGAGGGTGGAGGCTGAAGATTTTGGAAGCATTCATAATAATCTAACATTCACAGAATTGCTCTACCTCTTGTTTCTTCATGCTGGCTTGTACAGCAGCAGGTACGGTCCCGGATACCGAGATACCGACTACGGCACTGCCGCTGGCGCTGCTGCTGCCGATACGGCATACAAAGGTGGTGGTGTCACTGGAACTAGGGTCTAAGCTTCAAGAAAATAAAACGTAGTACAGTAGTTGCTGAGTGTTGTTGCCCTAAAATATGTAACTTTCCTGGCTGTTCTTGGTTTTATTTTTTTGTTTTTTGTTTTGTTTTATTTTATTTTATTTTTGTGTTTTATTTTGAAAAATTCTGTTTTGATGATAGTTATTATGATCATGTAAATAAAGATGCCTGACTTTGCCTCGGTATTATGTTGAATTATTGTGAGTGAGGATCCTTTTTCTCCTACGTCATTTTGGCTTCGCGTATATAACTTTTGGATTTGTAACTTTTCGTTTGGCATGTCAGGCTTTTAATTTTTTGATTATTTTAATTATAAAAAATAAAATAAAATTTTTAATTTAATTAGATAAAATATCACATCTAAATTATAATAATTTTATTATTTTTATTTTTATAAAAATTAAAAAATCTATCCTAAACAAGATTTTTTAGTCTCAAATTAAAATAGTTAAAAAATTAAAAAATTAATTCACATCACAAACCAACTCTAAGTGTCAATGTTTCATTTGTTATGAGACATTATTGTTGTTGAAAAATGTAAAAATGTTTTTTTTTTTTTTTTTTGAAACTCGTTTACTAAAATCAATAATCATCGTGACATGTTTATGTTGATGTTTTCTATTAATAAAATTATGAAAAATATAAAGTGAAATAAAAAGAGGGTGCTAAGTTTACAAGTGTGACAGTGAATCAAATTAGTATCTAACATAACACCATTAATAATTGCAAGAAGTTAAGAGTGTATTTAATTTGTTATTTGAGATAAATTTTTAAAAAAAATTTAGAGAAGTTAAAAAAAAATTTGATTGTTTAGTTGTAATATTTTGAAATTTGAGAATTTGGGATGATTTGATATTTTTACTGTAGTTGAGTAGATGCGTGTAAGAGAAAAAATGATTGAAAAGAAGATATGAGAAGAAAAGTGATTAATTGATGTAGTCAGGAGAAAAATACTAATTTTAAAATTTTTTTTCCAACGATTTAAACTAAATAAAATTTTAAACTTTTTTAAAAAAAAAATTATATTTTAAGATATAAACCAAACGAGCACCGTTGTGCTTGGAAAAGATAGCTTTGAGAGTGGTTGACCACGTCAAAAAGGTGGCTTTAAACCAAACTAGAGGATGAGGTCAAAGTAAAGATAAAGTACATGCTTTGATGAAACTCATCACTACTCCATCAATTGATACAATTCTTAAGTGCACAATTAAAGTTTTAAAAATATTTATATTAATTATCATTCTATCCCATATAGTCATAGTTTCACCAATTTCATTATAGTGAGGATGGTCAAAGCATACTCAGGAATGAATTAACTGGACTCCTAAGTAATTCATTCCCCAACAGCACCGCCTAACAAGGCCGCCCCCCGCCCCCTCTTGAAAGTTTTTTGACCTACTGAGTTATAATTGGATACAGAAAGAGAGACCTAACTTGGACCAAGACTGGTATTATAAAAGACCTGCATGCTATTATTATATTATTATTATATTATATTATTATTTAATTAATCAGTAAGAAATTTAATAACAAATACAAAAGTATTATATCAAATTAGAGAGAAAAATTTACAAAAATGATTTTTTCCCCCGAAAATAACCCCCCTCGAATCCCCCAAAAAATGAAGAAGGGGGAAGGCAAGAGAGAGAGAGGGGGAGAAAGAGAGAGGAGAGGAGAGAGGGAAACAGAGAGAGAGAAAGAGAGAGAAAGGGAGAGAAGAGAGAAGATTGGCCGATCGCAGCTCTCCGTCACAGCTCGGTCCGATCGTCGGCTGATCGCAGCTCTCCGTCGCAGGTCGATAGTCGCAGCAGCTCGCCTCCGCCGCGCCTCCGCCCCTGGTTGATGGCCCCTCCGTTTCTCTTCTTCTTCTTCTTCCTCTCCCCTGGTTGATGGCCCTCTAGTTCTTCTTCTTCCTTCTCTTCTTCTTCTTCCTTCTTCTTCGTTTCTGATTGAACCAAAAAAAACAAAAAATGCAAAAACGACGTCGTTTTTTCAAATTCGGGCGATTCGGGGGCTAGGTTTCGAGTCAAAAATATTATTTATAAATTTCATCTTAAGAAATGATGATTCATTTAGTCTTAAAAATTCTCTCATAGACCAATTAGTCCTATTGATTTTGAAAAGTTAGATTTAAATATATTATTTAAAAATTAGATTTACGGTTATATTCTTATTTTTATTATATTCCTTCTTCTTTTTTTTTCCTTCTTTTGTGCTAGAAAGGTAACGTACACAATATATGAGAATTAAATTTATGATGAATCTTTTATAAAATATTTTTCATTTGGAAAACATTTCAAAAAGAATTTAAAAATGACTTAAAATATGAGATTCTTCAAACATTTTAAAAGGATGTGGAATTTTTCAAACATTTCAAAATGGGTACAAAAATTAATTTTTAAAGTTTTGATCAAATATATAAATTTCAAACTGTAATACTTCAATGTAACATTCAAACGTAACACTTCAATGTAATACTTTAAAAAAAAAAAAATTGGAGTATTACCGTAATGTAACTATAAAAAAAAACTCTTTATTTACTTTTTTTAAAAGTAACATTTCAAATAAAAAAACTCTTTAGTATAACACTCTAATGTAAAACATTAAAAAAATTCTTTATTGTAACACTCTAATGTAACACACAAAAAAAATTTCTTAGTGTATTTTTTTTCAATGTAACACTCTAATATAATACTCCAAAAAACTCTTTTAGTATACACTCTAATATAACACACACAAAAACTCCTTAGCCTAACACCTTAATGTAACACAAAAAAAAAATTATTAGTGTACTTTTCCAAATGTAACACTCTGATATAATATCTAAAAAAATTATTTAGTGTAATATTATAATGTAACACACAAAAAAAATACCTTAGTTACTTTTTCTAAACATAACACTTCAAATAATATTTCAAAAAAAATTCTTAATTAATGTACTTTTCTTAAATGTAACACTTTCAATATAACACTAAAAAAAAATAGAGATTTCTTTAAACTATTCCAAAAGGAATACAAATATTCTTTAGTAAGTTTTGGACAAATGTATAATTTCAAACTGTGAGTGTTACGTTTGGAAAAAGTACACTAAGGAATTTTTTTTAGTATTTTTGTGTGTTACATTGGAGTGTTACGTTGGATTACACTATTGGAGTGTTACGTTTAAAATTTTAGAGATCAAATGTTTTGGTCACTAAAAGTGAAAATTTGTTGCAAAAGATATTTAAGAACCAATATCCATCGTTATGAGGATTGTTACTAAAAGGTTGTCCCGAAAAGTAAAAAAATGAGACTTTTTAGTCCAATTTTGAAAAATGTCACTAATAAATAGACTTTTAAGGACAAAATAATTTGATCTCAAAATGATTTTATTTTTGGAAACAAAAAATTTGTCCTAAAAAGATAATACTTCATCACTGATGTCCAATTTTTGTTGCTAATAATATAATAACGACATTTTTTCTCAACAAAATTATTTGTTTTTAAAATATAAATTTTGTCTCTAATTTTGGTCTTTAAACTTTAATTTTTTATAGTGTACATTGAAGCGTTACGTTGTTGGAAATGGTAGAAAATTCTGGGTAAAATCAGAATTTTTTCTCAAGTTTGGTCTATTTTTTAGGTGGGCCCCGAGTGTCGATTTACTCGGGTCAAAGTGGTAACGCTTCTATGTCGCATTGTGATTCATGTGGTATATTTGGGTTGCTCAAAACCATTACCGAGTGAATGGAAAATTGAAGCCAAAGTGTACTCTATGGAAATGGAGTTTTTGGTGGAAATTCCCTTAAGGTTGTAAATTGGCTTGTCCCACATTGATTTGGTGGGAAGTTTTGAAAGGGTTTATAAGGCTTGCTTGGTTAGATACTTGGGGTGTGCCCAAGGGGTACCCAAGTGTTTTAGAGGGAGGAGGTTATGGGCAAAAATGGGGCTAGACCCATTGGATCCAAAAATCACCACACCACACACGCGCACCGTGGCCTGCGTGGTGTGTGGTTTGGGTTGGGCTTCTAATCTTTTTGGGCAAAAACCATTTAAATTTAATTTTATTTTTTGGTAAAATAAAATTCAGAATTCAAATTAAAACTGATTTGGATTTTCTGTACATCCAAACAGGCCCCTTTCTGTTTTTCAAACAGAAATAAACTAGTTTGGAATTAGTACACACCCAAACGGGCCCTTTCCGTTTTTGCATCTGTTTGAATTGTTGAACAGATTCAAATTGTTTGAATTCAAAACCAACAGGTATCATACCTGTTCAATTTAAAACCAAGAGTCACCTTTACATCTATAAATAGGACCACCCTCATTTGATGTTATTATTCCAGAAATTTCGTATTTCACCTCTGCTAATTATATTCTTCATCTTGCTGCATTTTATTTCTGAAAGAAAGAGTGTAAACACTTAGTGTGTTCGTAAGGCAAACAATTTGTAGTGCTGCTTTGTTTGTGGTAGATCATTTCATCCTGGGAGAATAGACGTCCAAATTCTAAAAGCATCGTGGGGAGGACAAATCTATCTTAATGACACAGTGTCAAACACTGGACTTGATCAGAAAATAATTCGACACGAATTAAAATCAAGTAAGTTATTTAATTTATTTTTAGTGTTGTTTTTATTTATTAAAATCAGATTTAAATGTTTGTTTTTGTAACAAAATAAAATCTGTTTTTATTTATTTATTTTTTATTTCGAGTTTGATTTTTATATAAACAATTCTCTCCTTTTCTTTATTTCTTTAAATTCTAATTGTGTTTGTGTACACAAAGAATTAAATCTTTTAAATACAGTGAAGATTGTCCAACATATGTTTGGAAAAAGTATACCAAAAGAGTTTTTTTTAGTGTTACATTGGGGAAAAGCACACCAAAGAATTTTTAGTGTATTACATTGAAGTATTACGTTATTGGAGTGGTTATATTGGAGTGTTAGGTTTTATTTTGTATGTAGGATTGTTTTTAGAATGAGGAAAATTTCAAAACTTCTGTAATGTAAATTGTCCAAATTTATAATTTACATTTTGAGAAATCCACTTTTGTCCTTAAAAAATTAAACCCAAACATATAAGTGTCTATCCCTTTATGTAATTTCTACTTAATGAGCATTTTAGATTTATAA